TGGACACCGTTCCACAGGATGAGGAGGAAAAGGGATACGGGAAAAGGGGAGCAGGAGGGAAATTCCTAGTGGGAGAAGAGACATCCAACTCCGTTTTTTACCTTCTGACCTTCTTCTCCCGTGTCCCCTTTGGAGCCCTGGGAAAAAAAAACAGGGAATCACCAGGAAAAATATCAATATATAATAAATATAATTATAGGATAAATAGAAGTGTATAGAAATATGGGATAAATAGAAATAGATGATAAATAGAAATAGAGGATAAATAGAAATTTAGACAAATACAGGAAAAATATAAATATATAATAAATATAATTATAGGATAAATAGAAATTTAAAAAATACAGAAAAATATAAATATATAATAAATATATTTATAGGATAAATAGAAATATATAATAAATAGAAATATAGGAGAAAGAGAAATTTATAGAAACATAGGGTAAATATATGATAAATAGAAATATGAAATAAATACAAATATTGGATAAATAGAAATTTATAGAAATACAGGATAAATAGAAATATAAAATAAATAGAAATAATCGGAGAAATAGAAATTTATACAAATACAGAAAAATATAAATATATAATAAATATAATTATAGGAGAAATAGAAATTTATACAAATGTAGGGTAAATACAAATCTATGATAAATAGAAATATGTGATAAATAGAAATATTTAATAAATAAAAATATCGGATAAATACAAAATTTATACAAATATATGATAGAAATATAGGTTAAATAGAAATGTATATTAAATAGAAATTTATATAATTACAGGAAAAATATAAACATATAATAAATATAATTATGGAATAAATAGAAATTTATAAAAATATTGGAGAAATAGAAATAGATAATAAATAGAAATATAGGAGAAATAGAAATTTATAGAAATATAGGGTAAATATAAATATATGATAAATAGAAATATGTGATAAATAGAAATAAGTAATAAATAAAAATATTGGATAAATATAAATTTATACAAATATATGATAGATAGAAAAATAGGATAAATAGAAATGTTGTCCTGCAGCCCGTGGGAATTCCAGAACTCACCTTTTCTCCGGGTTTTCCCGCCTCTCCGGGCTGTCCCTGCAAGACAAATCCATTCACATTCCAGAACTTCTTCTCCCTCCCTCCTTCCCTTCCTTCTTCCCTCTTCCTGGTCTTCCTTTCTCCTGAAAATCCGTGTCCCACCACCCCGGAGCTGCCGTTTGGTCCCTCTCGACCTTTTCCTGCCAAAAACATTCCCAAAATTGGGCTTTCTGAGGCCTTTTTTCCATCCCTGCATTTCCTCGTCTTTCCTGATCCAGCAGAAAACCAGGAAAGCCCCTCCTGGATTTTTAGACTCATGGAAGAGGATCATTCCATCGTTTAGGTTGGAATTCACCTCCAAGATTATGGATCCCTCTCAACCTTTTCCTGCCGAAAACATTCCCGAAAATGGGCTTTTTGAGGCCTTTTTTCCATCCCTGCATTTCCTTGTCTTTCCTGATCCAGCAGAAAATCAGGAAAGGCCCTCCCTGGATTTTTAGAGTGGTGGAAGAGGATCATTCCATGATTTAGGTTGGAATTCACCTCCAAGATTATGGATTATTCCCAAGTGTGGCAGCGACTGCCGGAAGGAGGGAAGAGGTTTGGGAATAAAGGTGGGAATGTGGCAATCCCAGTTTCCATCGGGATGTTCCAGCTGCCTCTCCCTTTCCAGACCTTCTGAGCACAGGGAATTCTGGGAAAACCACCATCTATCTCTACCTTTTCTCCTTTGTCCCCGCGGATTCCGGGAGCTCCCGTTTCTCCCTGGAAAACAACAGGGAATCATCCCTTCAACTGCAAATTTATATCGATATAAATATCTATTTATCCTATATTTCTATTGATTATATATTTCTATTTATCATATATTAATATTTACCCAATATTTATATAAATTTCTATTTATCCTATAATTATATTTATTATATATTTATATTTTTCCTATATATGTATAAATTTATATTTAATATACATTTATATTAATCCTATATTTCTAACATATATTTGTATAAATTTATATTTTCCCTATATTTATTATATATTTCTATTTATCATATATTTGAATAAATTTCTATTTATTATATATTTCTATTCTCATATATTTCTATTTTTCCTATATTTGTAAAAATTTATATTTATCCTATAATTATATTCATTATGTATTTATATTTTTCTATATTTGTATAAATTTATATTTAATATACATTTATTTATCCTATATTTCTATTTACTATATATTTCTATTATATATTTATATAAATCTCTATTTATCTTGCAATTTTATTTATCATATATTTATATTTTTCTGATATTTGTATAAATTTATATTTATCCTATATTTATATTTATTGTATATTTGTACAACTTTATATTTATTCTATATTAATATTTATTTTATATTTATATGATATATTTCTATAAATTTCTATTCATCCTATATTTCTATTTATCCTATTTTTATAAAATTTCTATTTATCCTCTATTTCTATTGATTACATTTTTAAAAAATTTCTATTTATCTTAGATTTCTATTTATCCTACATTTCTATAAATTTCTATTTATCCTATATTTCTATTTATCCTACATTTCTATAAATTTCTATTTATCCTATAATTATATTTATTCTCTATTTATATTTTTATATATTTGTACAAATTTATAATTATCCTATATCAATATTTATTATATATTTATTTTATACATTTATATTTACTGTATATTTATATAAATTCATATTTATCCTATACTTCTATATATTATATATTTATATTATATTTATATAATATTATTTCTATTATATTTATATTATTTATATCATATAATATTATTTCTATTATATTTCTATTATATTTCTATTATATTATTTATATCATATAATATTTATATAATATTATTTATATTATATTTATAACTACCAATTATTTATATAAATTTCTATTTCTCCCATATTCCTATAAATTCCTATTTATCCAACATTTCTCTGTATCCTCTATTCCCATTTCTCCCATATTTTCATTTCCATCCATCCCTATTTTCCATTAAATCTGTAATTAAAGCACCGACCTTTTGGCCCCGGGAAGGGGGATCTGCCGGGATAGTTCCCTCCTCCTGCAAGGAAAAAAAAACCGGGATGTGCCGGGATGGATGGGATGTGCTGGGATTCGGGATCAGCCGCCTCCTCCCGGGGAAGAGGAGGATGGATTGGGAGCTGTACCTTCATTTTCCTGGGATGGGGAGGGCCTGGATACGCCTGGAATGGGAAAGAGGAGAGGGAAATGTGGGAAAGACTCCTCGGGGGAGGGAGGGGTTGGGAAGCAAGTGGGGAGGCTGCAGGAATATCCAGGGAGGAGGAGTGTGCCCTGGGATTGGCAGGACACTATGGAAAGGGTTCCCTGGGATCACCAGAATCCCATGGAAAAGGTTCTCAGGGATCACCAGAATCCCATGGAAAGGGTTCCCAAGGAACACCTGAATCCCATGAAAAGGGTTCCTAGGGATTATCAGAACCCCATGGAAAGGGTTCCCAGGGATCACCAGACCAGGGATCACCAGAATCCCATGGAATCTCCAGGGATGAGGAGTGTTCTCTGGGATCACCAGAACCCCACAGAAAAGGTTCCCAGGGATCAGCAGAATCCCGTGGGAAGGGTTCCCGTGGATCTTCAGAACTCCCTGGAAATGGTTCCCAGGGATCACCAGAACCCCACTGAGGGAATTCCCAGGGATCACCAGACCAGGGATCATCAGAATCCCACGGAAAGTGTTCCCAGGGATCAGTAGGACCCCATGGAAAGGGTTCCCAGAGATCAACAGGACCCCATGGAAAGGGTTCCCAAGGATCACCTGAATCCCATGGAAAGGGTTCCCAAGGATCATTTGAATCCCACTGAAGGGTTTCCCAGGGATCACCAGAACCCCATGGAAAAGGTTCCCAAGGATCACCAGAATCCCATGGAAAGGGTTCCCAAGGATCACCAGAATCCCATGGAAAAGGTTCCCAGGGATCACCAGAATCCCACGGAAGGGCTCCTGGCTGGATATGGAGCAGCCTCCATGCTCCCAGATATCCCAGCTCAGTGCTGCCATTCCCGCCGGGAATGCAGGCTGAGGATCACTCCGAGAGACTCATTCCAGGGAAAATCATTCCTGATTTTCCCTCCTTAACCCTTCCTTATCTTCCCTTAACACCTGTATCCATATTTATATCCATATAAATAAGTGTTTTCCTCTTCAATTCCATAAAAACCAACTCCTTGCCCTTTTTCCATCCCGGAATGTCGCGTTAAAGTCCGACGGGACCGTCCGGGCGTTCCAGGGAATGTTTAGGAAAAGTTTATCATCTCCCAAATTTCCTGGATCTGACCCCAAATTTCCTGGATCTGACCCCAAATATCTCAGGGCACAAATCTCAGTTATCCCAGATTTTTTTTATTCCCTCCTGGATGAACTCTGATTTTCCAAGCAGAAGATCCCGAGGGATCCGCCGTAAAAAAAAGAGGGATTTCCGGGGTTTTATTTGGGAATATTTATCCCTAATTTTCCCACTCCCACCTTTCCCGGTTCATCCTGACGCTCACCGTGGATCCCGCCGGGAATTTCCGAGCTCCCGGAGCTCCGGGAGGACGGATGGGAGACGGAGCCGCCGGGAAAGGGGCGTTGGCTCCTCCGGGATCTTCCACAGGGTTGGGAAACGGGATTTTTTCCGTGTGTTCCTCGGGAGATCTCCTGGTCCGGATGCGCCTCGGGAATGCGGAGCCGTTCCCTGAATCCCGGTTTTCCTGTGAGAAGAGGAAAATATATATTAATACTAAAATAATATTAAAATATTATTACTATTAAATTAATATTAATATTATTAAGATGAAAATAATATTAATTAATATTATTTGATATTAAAATTATTTATCATTATCATTGTTGAAATTAATTATTAATAATATCCAATAATATATTAATAATTATTAATAAGTGTTCTTAACTAATTCTTAAAATTCAATTAATATTAACATTAATAACGTTATTAATATTTTATTTATTTCTGTTTGTGCAATTAAACAATATCAACATTAAATTGATATTAATATTAATTAATATGAAGACCATTAACATCAGAACCGATTAATTGAAATTTATCTGAATTTATTTCTGTTGATGTATTTAAATTTCTCCATTATCTAAATTGAAATATTTAATACTAATGTCAAAAATATTAACAGGGATGGAGGGACAGGACACAGGGAATGGCTTCCCAGTGCCAGAGGGCAGGGATAGGTGGGATATTGGGAAGGAACTGCTGCTGGGAGGGTGGAGAGGGGCTGGAATGGATTTCCCAGAGAAGCTGTGGCTGCCCCTGGATCCCTGGGAGTGTCCAAGGCCAGGCTGGAGCAACCTGGGAGAGTGGGAGGTGTCCCTGCCCATGGCAGGGGTGGCACTGGAGGTTTTTGAGGTCCCTTCCCACCCAGACAATCCTGGGATTTCATAGTTCTGGATCCCTCTGCTCTGGAGCCAGGCTGGGAGAGCTGGGAATGTTCCCCTGGAGAAGAGAAGGCTCCAGGGAAACCTTGGAGCTCCTTCCATGGCCTAAAGGGGCTCCAGGAGAGCTGGAGAGGGATTTGGGACAAGGCATGAAGG